CCGAGGGTGAGGCTCTCGAAGATACGTCCCCTGAAGATGTGACCTCGAAGTAGTTTTAGATTTCCTTATTTTGTTTTTGTGCAAGTGTCCCTTGTGTAAATATCTTTTGTAATCATCTTTTGGAAATATAAGGGGAACTTTTCTTCTCATCTTTGACTTGTGCTGGATTTTATATTGTCTTTATTTATGGAGTACTTCGTTTGTATAACTTCAATGATTGGTCTGAGAATTGGTTTGGGCTCGAGATATAGTTAACCCTTAGATCTTTATAGATATAATAATCCTCGAGCTAAGTTTAAATCGATCCGATGTGAGCTTGGGATATCGTGACTCACGAGTCCGGGTAAAGTGAGAACGGAGTCTCAAACTATAAGTTTTTGGCCCTTAATCCATTCGAAGTTGGCATTTGGGCTCTTATAATCGGCCCTTAGGCTCTTTAAGTTGGCCCTTAGGCTCTTTAGATTGGCCCTTAGGCTCTTTAAGTTGGGCCAATTCGGTCTGTAGAATGGCTATATAATTTTTCCCTCATTTCGGCTAAAAGACAGTGAAAATTTAATCATGCCTTAGCATGTATTTTTTGTACCCGTTGAGTTTTCCGAAGGCTCGACTTTTCGGGACCTTGTTTGTGTACTGATAATCGAATACCTCTTGAGGTTGTATTGAGGGCTGATGTTATCGAAGCCTTTAAATTGTTCGAGGGCTGAATTTATCGAATCCCATTAAATTGTTCGAGGTCTGAATTTATCGAAGCCCATCAAATTATTTGAGGGCTGAATTTATTGAAGCCCATTATATTTTGCTTTTGCCGAGGATAGCCTGATTTAGTAGGTTTTTACAAAGTGTTTGAAGGCCTTTGATTTATAGCGGAAGTCGGACGTCTCCGAGCCGCATTATTTAGGCTGTAGCCTTTTTACATGACCGTAGTCTTTAATACGGCCGTAGCCTTCGGGAATGTCTCTTGGACTTGTTACCTGATAACTTTACGAACTTGTTCGAAAAGTTAGTCCCCGAGTATATTGCCCTTGGCCTTTGTTTCGAGGGGATGCCTCTTTGAGGTCTTATGAGTCCGAGTTTTTGGTGACTCGGGTGTATTGGCTGTCAATGGCAGTCCTCGAGTATTCGGGGGTGCTTTTATGCTTTGGCTCTTGAGCCGTTTCCCGTAGGATTATAAGTGTAGAGCTCGTATACTAGTAGACTTCTTTGAGACGCAAAGTGTTTTTGATATAAATAGAATGCTTCTTCAAGTAATTNCCGCTTTTTTTGCTACAGTAACGGGCTGGACCGGGCTGACCCGGGTTGAACCGGGTTGTTAGTGGGTCAGCCCGGCCCGATTAACACCTTTACTTTGAAGTTGAGCGATGGCGATTTGCTCAGCCTGCAACATCTCAAATTTCACTTGGAGGCTGACTCCCCCATCTCCTACTCCTGGTGGTCCTTGGTCCCCTGGTCGAGCATCCCTGCGTACACTCCCTTCGGGGTCTGTGCCTAGGTTGGTGTTTATAGCAATATGAGAACCAACATCAACTGGTTCCATGTTTGGCACTTCCCCAGGGTTTACCGGTGGTACACCGACCCCTACATTATTGTTCTCACCAAGACCTTCGTTGTCCTGAACAGGTGCATTTTGTGAGCTAGACATGTTTCAGCCTGAAAATAAAAAATTCTTGACAAGAAAAAGTGTAAAAATAACGTGTAATGAGAATCGGTAAAGAAATAATCAATATTATCTTTAGCCCCATAGAGGGCGCCAAACTATTTACCTCGAAAATACGAGTAACAATTAAATTTGATTTGTTGTTTTAAAGATACGTGATTTAATTCAATACTAATTAATAAGCAAGAAGTATGAAGTAGAAACGAAAGAGAAAAGTGAATCAAACCAATGTTACTCAACAGCAGTGACCTCGAGCCCAAGGACCTCGAGGTAGGCTTGGTCTTATAAGAACGATTAAATAATGAAAGCAAAGTAAGAATAATAGAGCTAAAGGACAATGCTGATGAAAAGCAGGCGAAAAAGGTAGAGAGTATATTCTTTTCTCAGTGAGAAGATGATGTTACAAATGATTGAGGTCCCTTTTTTATAATAGGGGAACCCTAAATAAGGAATATTTCTATTTACAGTAGGGAATATTCTTGTTACAACTGTCTAACCTCCTAGTACGGAATCGTACAATCTTATTCCGGGATTTGCGCCATGATCTTGGGGACGTGGCAGGAATCTAGCTCATTTTGTTACAAATCTATAACGGTACTATTTCGGGGTCGAGCACACTTGGCCTCGGTATTCCTCGAACTCCTGTCTCTGGGCATTGCACTCTGTCTTCGAGTTCGAGTCTGGTCCACCGGTTTCGAACTTGACCTCTCCCGGACTCGGGCCTAGGGCGGAACCTTGAGCTTATAAATCGGGGGCATATGATTTTGACCGTATACAAGACGCACCACATATGGTATACATACCAGAAACATGTGAATTGTCACAGACTAGTCTAATCTTTGTATCTTTCAAGCATAGACTTTTTGCTTTTCTCTAAAATGTCTGTACGGACAAATTTATATAATAATAAAAAACCAATTGAATAAAATAATGAAATGCACTTATATTATATTATGAAATGTTTAACGTATGCATAGAACTTCTTTGAATGTGCGTTGGACAAGTTGGGCTGCTAGCTACAGCCGCCATTAAGATAATACCGATATATTCCATATCACGTCCTACAATAACTAGCATAGTAAATTATACCATCAATCAAGAAAAAACAATTATACCGTCAATTATTCATTCATCTAATGTTTATAATCTTATGGCGTTTAATATTGTTATATTATCACCTGAAAAGGAAATTGTTCATAAAAATTAGGATTAGTATTCTAGAAAATAAGATGGGTACTATAACAGGTGTGTAGAATTTCTTTCTATTATCACTGTGCTAGGGGCGGAGCTAGGAGTATAAAGGGGCTCACAACAACATCAAAAATTACACTGTATATATAAGATCAAAATTATTATACTAAATGTTAGGAATAATCGAGAATTTCGAGTAACCGGCCAAGCCTAAATCTCCTTGGCTTGTCTCTGTGTTTAATTTTTTTTTTTTTTAAATATTTTAAGAGGTTGTTTGGCTAAGCTTATAAGCTGGTCAAACTGGCTTATAAGCACTTTTGGCTAATATACGCGTTTGGTAAAGGGAAAATTTCACATAAGAACAACTGAGCTCCCTACTTTTTAATTTTATAGCCCATATTTCAATTAACAACTAACTAGCCCAAAAATAATAGGCTAATACTCAACATTCAACTTCAATAGATTTTCGAAATTACTATTTAATTTTTAAAAAAGATTGCTCAAGCTTTTAAGTTAATTTTTTAATCAGTAACTGTGACTCCAATATTAGTTCAACAAACCAAATCCATTTGGGTGGTGAAAATTAGATTTTTAACAAGCTTAAATATGTGGGTTAAATTTCGAATTTGATTTTGTGAGAATTTTAGAGTGAGTGTTATTTAGACTTGTTCGAAATAGTATAAGGAGGTTGTATATAAAATTTGAAGTCATTTAATGGAGATTTGGACTGGTTTTGAATAAGAATTGTAACTGAAAATCGTGGAAGAAGTTCGTCTACAAACGCTTGTATAAAGGTGTATAATAGTGTATAATATGTGTTTATACACTCATATACACTATTATACAAGATTATACAAAAAACTGACTTCGTCTTCTACCTTGCGTCTTTTCTGAAAGTTAACTCAAATCTTGCTCAAATCTACTCCAAATCACTTCAAATTTAAATTTTGAACTCCTTTTGATATTTTCAATCAATTGGAACAACACTCAATCCAAACAACTAACAAAGTCAAAAAATTCTATTTTCGAAAGCAAAACTTTGAATGACCTTCAATGGTGGACTTCTACTCTTCAATTTTCTGACATTGCAAACAGGGGGAAAAGCAAAAAATACACGGCCCCTTGAAGAATATGTACGATGTGAGAAGAATAGAGAGTGAAAACAATGATTGTGTGAACACTGATTTAACTCCATAGCTTTTAGAAGCAATGGCTGTAAGAATACAGATTTTGAATTTGCTAATGCTTTCAAAGTATGTACAATATGGGTTAGGTAGAGTAAAATTTAAAAACATGAGCCATTTTTTGTTATGGTATGAAGTCATGTGTATTTTCTTGTAATTCTTTCTTTGGTAAACATCCAAAGTTATAAGCTAAAATCAGCCATAAGTCATAAGTCGATCACCCCCAACTTAAAGCTTTTTAGCTTATAAGCACTTTTAGTTTGACCAAGATTTTACTAGTTTATCCTTAATAATATTTTCTAATTCACAAAATATTTTTCGCAAAATAAATTTTTTAACTTTCTTTTCATTCCATATTCATTGTTTATCTTTTTTTTTTTTACAAAGAAACTTTTTATTTTATAATCTTTTGTAAAGTTTTTAAGGATATTTTAGTCATTTTAATAAGAGAATAACTTATTAGCAGTTTTTTACCAAGCACATCAACTGCTTATTATCAGTTTCAGCACGTTTATCCAAATACGTAAATGCTTATTTAAAAAATCAGTTTCAACACTTAAAAATGCTTTTCAACACTTCAAGCTTATCAGCTATTTACAATCAGCTAATCCAAACGGGCTCTAAATTACTTGGGTAAAAATCTTGATTCCACCAGGGATTATGAATAAGTTAAGTTCATATTTATAAGGGCCCGTTTGGTCATAAACAATCATTTTTTCGAAAATTTTTTACTTTTTTTCCGAAATCAGTGTCTGAATATGATGAACTCAAATTTCACTTGAAATTAAATTTCAGAATTTGGAAAACTCCAAAAAATTGCTTTCCAAAATTTTCACTTCAAATCACTCACAAAATTTAAACCATCCCCAAATTGAATTCATGTCCAAACACAACTCTAATTTTCAAATACTATTTTCGCCTTAAATTTTTTTCCCCGGAATTTCACAATTTTATATCCAAACGCCCACTTAATTATTCATGTGATTCAATCGTTTCCCTCTCCCTCTTTTTCTTGTACTATATGTCTATAAATTCTAAATATTCCACTCACCTATTCCTGCCTCGCCTCCTCTCACAAAAGAAAGTGAATTAGGGAGAAAAATGAGGAACCAATTCTACTTATTACTTTGGCTGTTGGCTTTAAATAGTACTATTGTTTTAGCTGATGAAGAATATATTAGTTTGGGACGCCATGAAGATGACCTCAGCCAAGGGGAACAGCCATTGTCAAGAGTTCAAATACACAAAACTGTTCTTGCTCTACGTAAATCTGCCTCCATTAAAGTTGCTGGATCTACTCTTCTCGGCTCTACGGTAATTTTCACATACTTGATCTTCATGCTGCAGCTCTACTATTTTCTTGTTTTTCTCTGTTTTTTTTTCCACCTCTTAAAAATGTTGGATTGAAGCAGTGGTAAAACTAAAAATTTCGGTGAACGTATTAAGGGGTGTATTTTAGGACCCGTTTGTTATTTTATTCCAACATTTTCTTCTTCATTTTTCCTCCCTTTTTTGTCAGTGGAATTATAACATGTAAATTTGGATGATTATAGGGTGAAGATGTTGAATGGGTTACAGTAAACCTCAAGAATGCAAAGCCCACAAATGATGACTGGGTTGGAGTATTTTCTCCTGCAAAGTTCAAGTAACTTTCTGATCCCTTTTGATAGATAATTCATACAATTTTGAAAACGGAAAAGGGCCAAATATACCCCTATACTATGAGACTAGATTGGAGTTTTACAAAGCCCCTTATCGAATTTAAACTGATGACTTGCGCCTTACCCATGGCGTTACTCTACCACTGAGTTAAAAGGGCCTTTTTGATTTAATTCCGGATGCCCATGATATTCCAACATTTTATCCTAAATTGACCTAGGAGTTGTTCCCCGTCATCCTTAAAAAAAAGGTTATTATTATACACCCCAACCCCATCCCTTGGAAAAAAAAAGGTAGCGCCGAAGAAAGGACAAGACAAGGACGGGTTCTCTGCCCCTGCAGGGATGAAGCGACAAAAGTTTTTTTGAGAATTCAAAAGAAGGTCACGACGAGACGAGCCGTTTATCATTACGATAGGTGTCAAGTGGAAGTGCAGTGATGTATGCAACAGAGGCATCCTAACAGACCGGTAGACTTAAACCTTGTTCCTAAATGACCTGATCAATTCGATCAGGCACCCCCTACTACAAATGACAATGAACGAACTCGGTCTAGCGCAAAAGGAGAGAAGAATAAGCAAATGGATCAGAGCAATTAGCGTAAAAATGTTTAAATATATCCCTCATGGGTACAAATATACCATGCCGTAATATTATTGGGTCAAATTTAACGGAAGAGGGGTTATTTGGACCAAAGTATGACGAGGGGTATATTTAAACCTTTTTTCATGGTATAGGAATATATTTGGCCCTTTAACGATCCGAAAATTACTCAAGTTTACTATATTCAAAGGGGTTGCAATTTGAGCCCAAACCCATCTAACCCGCCCAGAGATTAATGGGTTGGGTTACAAATATTTTAGCTCATGGGTCAATTTGGGTTGATCCCAAATTAACCCATTATATTTTATAGCCCATTCTGACCCATTAAGCAGCCCAAATACAACCCATGAAACTCACCAAAAACAAAAAGGTATCTCAACCCAACTTATATAAAAATTTATTTAGTTGCCCCCCCTTTTTTTTTTGTATTTTGTATTTTCAATTTTATGTTCTTTTTTGCTGCACCATCCACCCCCCTCCCCCGCAAAACCCTCCTCCCCTTAAAAAAAAAATTACTTTTTTTTTGTATTTTTAATTTTCTGTTTCTTTTTCTGCACCACCCTCTTCCCTCCCTCCCCACGCACCCAGGCCACCCAGGCCATCTTAGCCCAAGTACACTTTGGGCTGGGTTGGGCAATGACCCATTTATTGACCTAACCCATGTTGACCCGCCCAAATTCAACCCAACCCGCCCATTTGCCACCCCTAAATTTATTCAAAGTACTCTACCCCTCTGTTTTTTTTAACTTTCGAGTGCCAATTCAATTGATTTCCAGTGTTAGATCAGAGTAGTATTATGAAATATAATTCTTTTTAAATTAAGAAATAATGCACAAAACGTATTACATATATTTTCAATATGAAAGATGTCTTTATTGACTTGTGACAAAGGGAAAAGCTTTTAATCGAACGAGAGAATATTCTTTCTTGAGTTTCACAAGGTATTAACTCTTTTTTTCGATTTTGGTGCTGTACACTAATATTATAAAAAATTCACAGTATTAACGTAGTTTAATAATTTATGTGATGGCCTTCAAAAAAATTAATATATGTGATGATAGGTTAATTATCATCTCTTTGATAACTAAATAATATTTATATAAATTTATTTATAATTATTTCATAAGTAACTTGATTATCATTTAATTGATAACTCTATCTTTAATCCCTTATACGTGTCCATTATCCCTTTTCAATTTAAAGCTAGTGGTGTACTAATTTTACTTTTTGCTACAGTATTATTGTTTGGATGTACTCGCTGTTTCATTACACGTACATCTGTCATCGTTTATTCATATTTAAATTAAAGTTGATGAGCCAAAGAATTAAGAGCCGTTTGGACATAAATTGTTTCTCCCTTTTTTACTTTTTTCGGAAATCAGTGTTTGTTCATAAAATTTTCAATTTATATTTGAAGATGCAATTTAAAAATTTCCGAAAATTTGAAAAACTTCAAAAGGTTGGTTTTCAAAATTTTCATTCAAATCACTTACAAAACTTAAAAAACAATTCAAAATTATATCCATGTCCAAATATAAATCTAAATTTCAAATAGCATTTTCACTTGAAAAATTTTTTCACCGTATTTTGAAATTTTACCATTCTTATTTCCAAACGCCCACTAAAGTTGTGCTACTTTAGATTGTACTTTAAAAAATCAAAAAAGTTAAAATTAAAGATCATATTGTTGTACTCTTTCTTTATCTAGCAGTCCACTAGCAACCCCAATATTAGATAATAAAATAAAAAGTGAAAGTGCATGTTGCTCCAAAAATAGCTGCAGATTAAGACCAAAAAGATATTTTATAGTCAACCAAAAATAGGAAACACCCAAAAAAATAATACTCCCTTCATCTCAAATCATATATCGTTAATGCTAAAAATAGTTACTCAAATAATTTGTCATTTTAGAAGTTAAGATAAAATTAATAATTTTTTTATTTTACTTTTAATAGTAATTGTTCTGAAAGATAAATAACTCATAAATAGAGTAAATATTTAATTAAGAAAGATTATATCTTAAGATATAAATAAGGGTAAAATAGTCTAAAATTTTCTATAATTACTGTTTTTTAAGAGGTGCGTAAAGGAGAAATGTTACAAATAATTTGGGACGGAAAAAATAATACCGAAAGTTGGAGCGCACATGCCACTTTTATTTCATTTTTCTCTTTTACTTTTTAGGTTAATCATTTCTTTTGTTTTGTTATAACATTTTGGGAGTTATCTATCACGCAAACTTTTTTGTTCATACTTTTCACGTGACTTAAAAATTTAATCTACCGGTTAGTCATACCGGTGTAATTATGTTCTAGGTAAATGTTTTGCCGTATTTTGTTATTTATATCATACCAATAAATATAAAATATGTATTTTTTATTTACATCTTAGTTATATAATTATGATTTATTAATATGTTTTCACTTAATTTTTATTAAAATTAGATTATTTGATTTAATGCAATAAGGGGTCGTTTGGTTGCCGGTTAGAGTTATGCAGGTATTAGTTATACATGTATTAGTTATGCAGGGATTAGTTATGCAGGGATAAGTAATGTAGGGATTAGTTATGCAGGTATTAGTTATGCAGGTATTAGTTATGCAGAGATTATTTTTTTGAATGTTTGGTTTGTTGTATTAGAAATTGATATACATTATATAAATTTTAAAGTAAAATGCTTGCTTACAACTATACCCCTGGCCTTCTTTTGCATTGTTTTTTCTCTCTTTCCATTTATGTAGGAAACAATTTAGTTAGGAACTTTGGGTGTTACTTTCACTTCTTCGTCATACTACTGAACTATGTGAAGTTTAGACATATTTGATTTTCACTTCTTAGTTTTGGTATTTCCATTTTCTAGTGGCTTCTCTAGTTTGCTTTTGCTAGTTTGTTCTTTAAAAATGAGAGAAGACAAGGTATATAGTTGGCAAGTGAAAGCAAGTGAAACCTGTTGACGGGTTGGCGGAGAAATAAGGAAGCCTTATGTGTAAAGTGATAGGGGTAAATTTGTCATTTCAGTATTTTATCCATGTATTACTAATACATGTATTAGTTATTCCATCTTCTACCCCGCATAAAATAATACACAGATTGACTCATAACTTATACATGTATTATTTATGCATAATTGAAAAATGTCAACCAAACATGGTATTAGTTATGCAGAATTTTATACAAAATAACTATTGCCTACCAAACATGGTATAAGTTATGTTACCCCTTATACATGAATAACCTTTCTTCTAACCAGCTACCAAACGACCTCTAAGTGTTATCGGTGTTCTACCACTAGAACATTAGAACTGTCGTTGAAGTCATCAAGCTATGCTTTTGGACGATGTTAATGTGATTCAAAATATAATATAAAAAATTACAAACTAAATTTTACCTTATATGTACAATATAGTTTTCCGGCGAAAACCTTTTCGCCGGAAAACTAAATCCGCCCCTCAGTGCCATGTTCTTTACTATTTGAAGGTAGAAACAAAAATTATAATCTCAAAACTAAACGACTTATGTCGATAACGAAAAGAGTGGAAAAAAAAAGTTTGAGATCCAAATAAACCATAATTTAATTGGCTCGGTTAGAAAATTTACTCTTGCTTATCTTTTGTTAATCTAGCAATTAGTAAATGATTCAACTGCAGTGAATCAATTTGTGACCCAGTAACAATTGATGAACAACAATTTGGTGCTCCATTTTTATGTACTGCCCCCTTAAAGGTATGTCTAACAACTTATACTTCCATATTAATGGACTTCAAATGATCTGGATTTATAATTTTTTTTCTTTTTTTACAGTTCAAATTTGCAAATTACAACAATGTCAATTACACAAGGACTGGGAAAACTTCACTTAAGTTCCGGTTAATTAACCAGCGTGGGGATTTCTCATTTGCCTTCTTCTCTGGCGGTTTGTCTAATGTAAGTGTATTTCCATATTCTGCAAATTATATATGTTTCCTTTGCTGATATTGATTTTATTATTGTGTGTGTTGGCATTTGAATTTCTCATGTATTCATGCTCTCATTTCTCTAGCCGAGGGTCTATCGGAAACAGTCTCTTTGCTCTTTCAGAGGTAGGGGTAAGGCTGACCCTCCCCAGACCCCACTTGTGAGAAACTATTGGTTTGTTGTTGTTGTTGTATTTCGACTATGGAGTGTGGTGGGGCGATAAAGGTTCTCCACTCTTAACTCGAGGTCTCGTCTGGAGTCCCGAGAATGAAGTTTCACCTTGGTAGAGAGTGCCCTTGGTGGGGCGATAAAGGTTCTCCACTCTTAACTCGAGGCCTCGGTTCGAGTCCCGATACTGAAGTTTCACCTTGGTAGCGAGTGCCCTTGGTGGGACGATAATTGTTCTCCACTCTTAACTCAAGGTCTCGGTTCGAGTCTCGAGAATGAAGTTCTCCTTAGTAGCGAGCGCTAAAATACCCTATTCATACTGTCAGAATATATAACTTAAATCCATTTGAAATTAGGCAACCTAGAAGAATGACATATCAAGTTGTGTATAATGTGTTGGAGATGTGATTGATTTTACTTGAAACTTTTGTATATTAACTTTACCTTATAAATAATTCAAAAGTATAGTTAAGAAAGGTATTTTCCTTTGTTTTGTTTAAAATCAAGTGTGTTAGTTGACAAGTAAGTTGAACTAATTGAGAATGATTATAAATTGGAAATTCGCAATGAAACTCAAACTGTTGTTGTCTAAGTTAATTACTTCAGCTTCTCCAAGTTGGGTAAGTATTTGAGCTTTATAGGACATTTTACTTCACGCCAATGATCATTATAGTTTCTGTTTCTGCTATACTTTATAGGAACTTTCTTGAGACTTGGATTTGAACTAATAGATTCATATGTATGTTACAGCCTAAGTTGATAGCCATCTCAAATCACATCGCGTTTGCCAATCCGAAAGCGCCTCTTTATCCGCGTCTTGCTCTTGGGAAGTCATGGGATATAGTAAGTTTTATATTGCTATGATTTTTTCAGCGTATTCTGTTTTCGTTAAGATATGCATGTCCATTTTTATCCGTTATTACAGGGCCTTCAGTAACAGTATTGAATGTAGTAGTGTGTCAAGGTAATTGATGTATCAACTCCTTAAATTGGAGAACGTGTTAAATTGATTCATTATTTTGAATCCCCTTGTTAGAATTTCTGCTTTGTCACTGGTCTGGCCCTTCCCCAGACCCCGTGCATAGCAGGAACTTAGTGCACCGGGCCGCCCTTTTTTTCACCGCAGCCTGCAAATTGGAGATTCATGTTAAGTTGTTAAGCATCCTATCCAGTGGTCGTATCAAATCTTGAGATTAACTTGTGGCTTTTTTCCCCCTTTTTAGATGACCGTTACCTGGACAAGTGGTTACAACATAGACGAGGCTGTTCCATTCGTCGAATGGGGTTGGAAGGGCCAAGCTACACAACGCTCCCCAGCAGGGACACTGACATTTCATCGGAACAGCATGTGTGGTATGAGGACTTTTATTCAACAACTGTTTTGATCAGTTGAAAAATGCATGCCTGATGTTCACCTTTTCATGTGTATTTTACTCTCCTCCTCTTATTCATGTATTCTGCCTGAAGTTGAAGATAGAGTAGGAGAGGGTGAAATTTTTGAATTGATTTAGTATTATGCATTCAATTGCATTTTCATTCTGAATAATGTTATGAACGCGTTTGTAGGAACACCTGCTAGAAGTGTGGGATGGCGCGATCCTGGATTCATACATACTAGTTTCCTGAAAGATTTGTGGCCAAACATGGTGTAAGTTTTTCTAGTGGCCGATTTCTCTATCAGAAAGTTAGTTCATTGTTGAGATACACATCCTTTTTTGAGCTCTTAATTTGTGAAATTTCAGGTACACATACAAGTTGGCTCACTTGTTAAACAATGGCTCGATTGTTTGGAGCAAGCAATATTCATTTAAATCTCCTCCATTTCCGGGACAAGAGTCACTGCAACGCGTTGTGATATTTGGAGATATGGGGAAGGTAATCTACTATTATTACCTGTTCTTCTAATACAATGCAAATCTATTTTATCTTCTTTTCTAAATCTTGAAGAATGTGGTTTTCCGATATATGAAACAGCATACACACATAAAATCATCATGGTCAGTTTCCAGATCAACGATAAAGAAGGAAAACGAAAACATATAGCTGTACTATGTCTGATTTTATGGGAGGATGAGACGTGTGCATCAAACATACAATTAATATTAATATTAATATGCCATCCAAAATTCAAATGTTTTTTTACTATGAAAAATAAGTTGGCCCTATCAAACAAAAGAGAAAAGACTGACCGGAGCATTGTAACTGAAAAGACTTGCATTTACTTAGAGAGGATTCTTGCACTAGCATCTAATTATTTCACTTCTTGCATTAGCATCCAAGTCTAAATTACCAAGCTTCCTTGTACTTGGCTTATGATCATTCAACTTTAAACTTTTAAAATACTTCGTGTACATTAGATAACAATTTTTTTTAATTCTTTTTGTTGTTTCAGCAAGAACGCGATGGTTCGAATGAGTATGCTAATTATCAGCCTGGCTCACTTATGACAACAGACACCCTTATTAAGGACCTTGATAACATTGACATAGTTTTCCTTATTGGAGATCTCCCCTACGCAAACGGCTATATCTCACAATGGGACCAATTTACAGCACAAGTGGAACCGATAACATCGAAAGTACCTTTCATGATTGCAAGGTCTGTTCATCATCAAGATCCCTTTGTCATTGTGGATAGTCTGCTCTTAATTATTTGATATTATATTTCATATAGTTTTTGTTCTTCTAGTGAGCACGACGAAAATTTGTTTTGCAGTGGCAATCATGAAAGAACTTGGGAGAACAGCGGATCATTATACACTGGTCTGGACTCAGGTGGAGAATGTGGTGTACCAGCCGAAACATTATACTACGTTCCAGCAGAAAACAGAGCTAAGTTCTGGTATGCGATTCGTCTAAAAAACACATTTTTATTGCTTGTGATGATATTATGTGGAAAGATTATAAGGGCATTGAGTAGGAGAAAAAGAAACTTTAAATTTTGATAACCCGCTTTCATGTTTATCATGTGTATTAGGGTACCTCTTAGGTAAACTGCTTGGGTGCATAATTCAAGATAACTAGATGTTAGTTGTTGTCAAATTTTGCTTGAGGTACCTTAAGTTCCTGAAGTTAAGTACGGCTGCACGCTCCACCTTCCTTAAGTGGTGCTTTAGTGCAGTCACCAAGGCGATAAGCCATCAATTTCCTGGGTTCTGTCTTGAAAAGATTTTCACTGATTATGGGACTGTCAAACTTATATATTAATTGTTGAAGAAGCATTTGAATGAATATTTAGTGACCAAGAATTGGACAATAAAAAATTAATAGGAGTATAAGAAAAGTAATCTCTAAATCTGGATCAGAAATTTCAAACTTCATCATTTCCATGTGGATTAGAAATTAGAAGGTGCCTGCCTTCATTTAACTAGTGTGTCATGTTGCTTTCCCTTATTTTTTCTTCTCTTTACAAGCTTCTTGAGCCGAGGGTCTATCGGAACAATGCTCTCTACCTTCACAAGGTAGGGGTAATGTTGCACTACCCTCCTCAGACCCCACTTATGGGACCGCACTAGGTTTGTTATTGTTGCAGTTTAATTTAATCAACGTGTCGGTCTTGACATGGAGTGAGTATCTTGTTGACAGGTATGCAGCCGATTATGGCATGTTCCACTTCTGCATAGGAGACACTGAACATGACTGGAGAGAGGGATCTGAACAATACAAGTTCCTTGAGGAATGCTTTGCATCAGCGAATAGACACAAACAACCATGGTTGATTTTCTCCGCTCATCGTGTTCTCGGTTACTCTTCCAATGATTGGTATGCTAAGGAAGGCTCATTTGAAGAGCCTATGGGAAGGGAGCACTTACAAAAACTCTGGCAGAAATATAAGGTTGATATGGCATTCTTTGGACATGTCCATAACTATGAAAGAGTTTGCCCAATTTATCAGGTATTCAATTATATTTCTACACATAAAGTGGGTATTATAGAACTATGATTTATTTAGGCAATGTCTTACCTGTAGAATTTGCCTATTTTTTGCTCCTTTTCGCAATATTTACTGATTTCGACCGAAGGGGAGCCTTGGAGCAACGATCAAGTTGTTTCCATGTGACCAATAGGTCACGGCTTCGAGTCGTGGAATCAGACACTGATGCTTGCATCAGGGTAGGTTGCCTACATCACACCCCCTTAGGGTGCGGCCCTTTTTCGGACTCTGCGTGAACGCAGAATGCTCTGTGCACCAGGCTTACCTTTTATTTACTGATTTCGACTCTACTTGATCTTACACATTTATCTTATTTTTAACGTAATTCAATTAGTGACAAAAACTCCATACTCCTGTTGGTCTTCTGTTCATACTACATATACTAGAATTTGATCATTATCCTTTTCTCCTTGTGGCATTTCTATGCAGTTGTACAACTTTATTGTATTTGTCGATGCTGCAGTTCATGCACTTGTAGTATTTCATGTGTAGAACGCATCATTATTTGTTCATATTGATAGTTTTGACATTAACGATATTTGAATAACGACTTTGGATAGCCACCTCTAGTATAAAGTTTTTCTTGAAACCATAATCCTTTTCCTACTAAACATGCACAACCCTTTGAAAGTAAAAGAACTAGAATTTGCAGCAATATTGAAAATGATATTGTTATTTCACTTAGATGTTTGAAAAATCACTCAGTTATTGTTGTCAAATTGTTGTATGAACAGAATCAATGTGTGAACAAGGAGACGTCACACTACTCGGGCGTAGTGAATGGAACAATTCATGTTGTTGTTGGTGGTGGAGGAAGCCATTTGAATCAATTCACAACCATTAACACCACATGGAGTGTGTTCAAAGATTATGACTATGGATTTGTCAAACTTACAGCATTTAACCAATCTTCCCTTCTCTTTGAGTACAAGAAGAGCAGAGATGGTAAGGTGTATGATTCTTTTACAGTCTCAAGAGACTATAAGGATGTCTTAGCTTGTGTCCATGATGGTTGTGAACCAACTACTTTGGCTAGTTAAATTCATGTGTCTACAAGTGTATGTAGCAAGGAATAAGTACCTTTTAAGTTTTCTTTTTTTGTTTTTGTTTAACCATTTAGTATGTGAAGCCCGCTGACCTGGCTAATTCGAATTCCCGTCGGGTAGGTTCACTAAAGGGGTGAAAGAGTACCTTTATTTATGTTGGTTCTAGAGCTATTAGTATTTAAATCTTGTCTTTTTCCCCCCTCTCCTATTATGTTCCTTGTCTTTCATATTGCCTCCTGTTAATTGGATGTAATTATGAAACCGCCAGCTTTTCTTAATTTCGAAAAAAAAAAAAATATATCTATCTTATGGGAGGAAGTCATTTCTTTTACAAATATCTTAACTCTTAACTCTGTATGACTTATTTAATCCAATACCAAAATATTAATATTATCATCAATTTTAATATTTAAATGTCTTATTAGAACACTATTCAATTTGCAGACTTTGTTATCTATCCTTTGTTAATATCTTTGGGAATACATTTGGGAAATTACCAGCTATGTCACTCTACAAACTTTCCTAATAAAAAATAGCCCAAAACAAAATATCTACTAAAAAAGGCCCAAATAGTTTCAATTAATGTCACTTTTTGTATCCGTTATTTTTCGTATACAACACCGAGTTACCTCTCTTTCTCTCTCTCTCTCTCTCTCTCTCTCTCTCTCTCTCTCTCTCTCTCTCTCTCTTTCTGCGATTTTTTTTCCTAAATTCAACCAAAATTGCTGAAATTGACGACAAAACAAGATACATTTTCGGTTATTTTCGTCTGATTCCAGGTAATTTGGAGTAGAAAACCTCTTATTTTTGTATATTTTTCTGATTGCATGTGTTTTTGTAGAATCGATGTTGCTTTTCTTTAGGCTTTTGCGACTGATTTTGTAAGTTTTGGTCGAGTTTTTGTATTAATTTCTTCACAAATTTCCGTAACCTTTTGTTCATTGAACCTAGTTTCAATTGTGAAATAGAGCAATATGAGAAGACAAACTCGTTCGATGAGTTCATCACCTTATTCAAAGTCGGTTTCAATTGAGAAATCGAGCAACATGAGAAGAGAAACTAGGTCGATGAATTTATCTCCTCATTCAACCCCGGGTTTAGTTGAGAAATCGATTGATGAACAAAATATGCGAAGACAAAATCGTTCTGACAGTGTTAAAGTGTTAGAATCTCGAAAGGATATTGTTGGACAATCTGAGAAAAAGAAGAGCAAGAGGGTTATAATGGATGCTGATCAATGTAAGAGAAAACGTGTCGTGGAGGACGAAGTGAATTTGGGTGTCAAACCAAAAAAAAACAAGGTTCAGAAGGCAGAAAAAGTTAAAATTCCTGACAAAGTTTGTAAGGTATATACAATTTCAGTTATAATTTTTTCTATTGTTGACTCTTCTTTTAAAATTTGGATTTAGTTTGTATTTGTTTGTTTTTAATTCGTGTCATGTATTTGTAGCCTTGGAAGCTCTATATTTCAGTTGGTGAGCCGTTTCCTGTTACTCATTGGTCATCATACACTAATGTGGACATTGTATCGATTTTACAGTCAAAGTTGACTGATGTCCAGCTTCAGATGTTTAGGGAAAGCTGTTTTGGCTATTTCCTTGATTTACCTCGAGTTGCTATCCAGGCACAACTTATTCGTTCTTTAATGTTTAGGGAGTTGGTTCAAGATAAGTGTGATCAATTTTATGTGAAATTGAATGACGAATGTGTTTTACGTTTTGGTCTTCGAGAATTTGGTATTGTAAGTGGTTTAAACTGTTGTGGTAATGAACATGTTGAGGGTAAATTCAGTGGACCCAATAGGTTGGTGGATACTTATTTTTCCGGTTTTGAAGTGGTGTCAAAGAAGTCACTTATTGGTTGTTTTGAGAAGAAGAAATGGCAGTCTGATGAAGACGCAGTTAAGATTGCAATCATTTATTTCATAAAAACATTTCTAATGTCCACTCAGGCTCAGAAGACATTTATAAGTAAACGTGATTTCCATCTTGTCGAGAGTGGTGAGTATGTGTCGTTTCCATGGGATAAGATTGCGTTTCGAGCTTTAATGAAGTCGGTGAGGGACAGCTTGAGGGGAAAGTCTGGGTTTTATAGGATTGGTGTGCCACGACCTTAAACCCAAACCCGTTCGTGGTGGCGCCTCTCGTGAAGACAAGGCTAGCCGACACACTACCAATTCACTTTAAGCAGTTAAAATAACAAATACCAAGTCTATTATAGAAATAAACTCCCAAAATAACAGTATAAGTTGCGGAATTAAAAACCAACACAACCCGACATCGGGGTGTCACCAGTCATGAGCATCTAAAGCAATACTAAAAGTCTAGAGTCTAATCCACTACTACATAACTGAATCAAAAGAAAACTGAAATAGAGGGAGAGTGCACTGGGCTGCGAATCGCCAAGCAGCTACCTAGTAAATCTCCGAAGACCTGCTGGAACTATCAACCCTCAGGAGCAGGACCTGTAGCGCCCGAATCTGCACACAGGGGTGCAGGGAGTAAAGTGAGTACTCCAACTCAGTGAGTAATAAAAATAAATGAAGACTGAGTAGTATAAAACCACGTAAGTCACAACATTAAGCTATAAGGGGCCTAACAAAATCAGTGAATATAAATAAGCAGTGAAAATCTCATAACACCTTTTAACAGTCAAACAATATTTATNCTGTTGATTATGACCGTGAGTTGCAGAAGTTGAAAGCTGATGTGAAGCAAGTATGTATTGGTCTTTTTTATATATTTTTTTGAAAGTATAGTTTAAATTGTATATTCAAAGTCTATTATCTTTCTTATTTGTTTCATCTTGTAGCTCCATAAGCAGTTAAATTCCTTCATGGAATATGTTTCTGATAAATTCAAGGAGGTCTTTGAGTTGATAAATTCTAAGGTATGTGTTTCTTTTCCATTGTGCATTTCTTTTTATTTTTTAGTTAACTTACTATATCCTTTTTTTTAAAAATAGCTTGGTGTAAGCGAAGTCAAATATGGTGCACATCCAGAGGAAGACACCAGTGGTCATCAAGACAATAATAATTTTGTGAGCAATATGGAGTTTGGTGGCAATGAAGATGTTAAAATGGATGGTTGTCAGGTGTGTTTAGTTGTGCATTCTGCACTTTTCCCTTTTCTTTTCTTTGTTGTTTTTGATAATTCGATTCTTTTTTAAACAAATAGGTTGGTGGAAGTGAAGGTAAAGATGTTCCACATTCTCAAAGAGATACTAGTGTAGCAGATCAGTTAGGTGTCAATGCTATGGAAGGACCTTCTAGTGTGAAAGTTGACATGTTTGTTGCTAAAGTAACTTTCACACCAGATGTAGCACATGCTGGCGATATTGGTGAGATTGCAGATGCGGAGGAAGAACCTGAGAAACAAAAGGTTCTTGAATCCCGGACTGGTGCTGTTTGTGTGACTGCAAGTGTTGATGCGGCGGCAGGGGAGACGGAGGTAGAATCTGAGAAACAAAAGGTTCCTGAATCCCGGACTGGTGCTGTTTGTGCCACTGCAAGTGTTAATGCGGCGGCAGGGGAGATGGAGGAAGAATTTGAGAAACAAAAGGTTGACTGGTGCTGTTTGTGCGACTGCAAGTGTTGATGAGGCGGCAGGGGAGATGGTTCTGTACAATCTTGAATTACTTCCTAAAGTATCGCCGCAAATGGAAAAAAGAAAGAGATGTCCTGCAAAGGCCGTGCAGTCTCCATTCATTACTGTGTTTGATTCAGGTTCCAGTACTGTTGTTGTTGCAGCGAAAGGATCGGAACTGGCGTTAACAGCTCTTTGTTGAATGTATTTGCTGCGTGGGTCAAAGAAGGGAAGTCCAGAAAGAAGTATGTTTCCAACTTCTGAATTTTTTTCAGTTTTATATTTTAATATATTGTCACTTATAGCATTATTTTATATCAAATCATTGTACTCTTTGTGTATATATGTTACCAGGAATGAAATTTACCCGAAGCATGTTAGTGAACTCAATCCTGCTTATGATCTTGGTGTATTTCATGTTGAAGACAAAAAATGGTTTCACACTTTGGCATATAATGGTCAGCCCTTGGATGACTCGGTATGTAAGAATTTATTTTTGCAGTATTTTTTTAAAATTTTAGCCAGTGTACATATGAACACTCAGTCCTCTTAAGTTAGAACAGATTATTAATTGCTATTTCCTGGCACAAGACATAGCAGTGAGCATTCATTTTCCTTTGTTTTCTGTGATTTTGGTTTGAAAAACCGTAGCTGCTTAAAGCTTACGAGCCTTTAGTGATTAGTTATTTGTTATGTTTTGTTTCAGCACATTGATGTTTTGTTCTATTATCTGAGGAAGAAGGGGAGGTATGACAAAGACCTACCTGTAACATTCACCACCATAGATTGGTACTTCGACGAGAAAATTAATGAGTTGTGGTAGGCATTTATTGATACATATGGAGACAGTGATGTGTGCACTCCGAAACATGTCATTGCAGAGTATATTCAGGGGTTTGTCTTGGATGCCAATGTTCCATGGCACACTATCGAGCATGTCTTAATGCCAATTAATGTTGCAGAACAATGGCATTGGATAATGGCTGTGATGACCTTCAAGGATAGGTGCATTTATGTGTATGACTCTATGCGCGGTAGAGCTGCTCATCAAGCCAAAGTTCATAAGACCATGGCCAAGTATTCTGTGTTGCTGCCTCATTTTTTCTTGCACACGCATTTCTATTTAAAAAATTGAGGATAAGACGTCTCCTAAAAAATTCAATGCCTATGCACACCGGCGCAGATTTGGTGCTCTCTTGTGGGATTATGTTAGAAAGAAGATGGAACTGAACGCGCAAAGTGATGATGAGATTATTGGTCGACAGAATAAGTCGCGGAAGAAGAAGAAGTAGTTACTTTTGTCATTGTTGTAGGATGAACTCTATAATTTTGTTTTTGTATTGTGTTCTGTTATGTTGTCATTATTGTAAGACGGATCAGATTTGTTTGTATTTGAATTTTACGAATACTTTTAAGAATTGTATGGCAAATGAGATGTTTGCTCTGTTATAAAGGTTTAATGGGTTTCAGTGCGATATTGGATTTCTGCAGTTTAGTTTATTTTGGTGTTTTCTCCCTTGGTTTTGTGTTGTGAATTATAGATATGAAAAATATACGGTAGTTTGTGATACATTGTCTCTTGCAGATACACACATGATACATACACGATACAGATATGATACACATATGATACAGATATGATACACATATGATACACAGTTTTCAAATATGTAATGATGAAGCCACTCTTATTTGCAAATTTCTAAAACTATTTGCATAGTTTTCTAGCTGCTACGACTGTTTTCCATTAGTTGGCTTTGTTACTACACAAATACAGGCATGAGTAAGAGCCTATACACAGAGATACATAGGTGATACACAAGCGATACATAGATGATACAAATGTGATGCACAAGCGATACATATATGATACAAATATGATACATAGCTGATACAACTTCTTTTTAATCAAACATATGTATAATATAAACTTGCAACACGATTTTAAATGATAGGTCAAATATTTATTTATATCTAAAATTCAAATGACATTCTGCACTGATATAGTTCTTGATATATTGCATTCTTCTAAATCTCTATGATATTCAGTAAAGTAAAATAGCAAGTAATTCTAAATTTGACATATTTCATCCTCTCTTTGGATTATTTCTACAAGTTTTCCTGTTCTGACCTTCTTCTCCATACTGTCCACATGAAATCGACCTTTTTCGCTGCCTTTCAAATATTGGCTTGCACCTCCCCTTCCTTGGCCTTCCTATTGTTTTAGTCACATCTGGTGGCAAGACTTTTTCATTTAGAACTTCTGCAGGAATTTTCCATGTGCTTTCATAAGGAACCGGATAAATTGGAATTTCATAGATCTTTAATAGGTACTTCCTGGTGTAGTACACCGAGCAATACTCAATGTGATCAATGTATTTGTATTTTAATACTGCCCAAGCATGTGCACATCTAACTGAAACCTTCTACAGCTGCAAGTTCGATCTTTTAGGAATACCATTCTCTGCTTACCCTTGTTAAGTACTGAATATAAGTAACTCGTGGAAGGGGTCACCTACAAAATTTATCAACTATCATTAGTGGTGAAAAAGCAGATGCCCTCAAAATACATATACTAGAGAGCCTACAAGATTCAAAATAGCTTAATATCATGTCAAACCAACCAATATTTCAACAGTGGGGTAGGCATAAATGCTACATTAAATTGAAAGCCTTTGCTTTTGTGCAGGTGGACACTAGTTTAACAGAATCACACAAAGGGTTCAAGATATAACAGATCCATGAATTTGGCATGATTACATATTCTATGCACAAGTATCTACAGATTCCAGTCATACCTTCATCTGATGTGACAATTCAAGATTGTCCATCAGCATTGTATCATATTTTTTTCCAAGATCAGTGAATGACTCCACTGCATTCTTTAGGTTTGTAACATTCCATCGTTCGATCAATTGCCTTATGTAGTCTAGCAAAGGCAGTACTGGGAGTTCCCTAGCAGCCTTGAGCGCTGCATTGATCGACTCCGCAATGTTTGCAGTCATTGTCAATGTTCTGTTGACAGTGGAATGTGCTCTCGACCATCTTTCATACCCAACATTCATTAAGTAATCTTTGACCCTCTTATCAATTTTCTCTACCTCTGCCATGTGGTAATCAAACTTCTCAACTGTGTATGCTTTGGCCATAACAAAGAATATGTCTTTGAGCAGCAAATGGTTTTTTTTTGTAATTTTTTTTACATTATTCCATAGATGCCATATGCAGACACAATGAGGTACTTGTGGATACAATGTTGCCGCTGCATTTTCAATGCCTTCATGCCTGTCCGAAACTATGCACATTCCCCCCTTTCCCCAAATGCATCCTTGAATCTCGCAAAAAACCACTCCCAAGAAGCATTATTCTCTGAATCTACTATAGCATATGCGAGTGGTAGGATATTACCTGCTGGATCTTGTGTTGATGCTATCAATAATGTTCCTCTATATGCCGATTTAAGAAAAGTTCCATCTACAACAACAACCGGTTTGCAATACTGCCATCCTTTTATAGATGGATATAGTGCAACGAAAGCATTCATGAATAAGTCTTCCTCTGTTTTTTTCAAATTTACCACCGACATAGGATTTGTAAGAACCAGCATATAAAAGTAGCTTGGCAGCTTTTCATATGATTCGCTTGGGTTCCCTCTCAGTACTTGAACTGTATATTCTTTCGATCTCCATGTTTGCATATATGTCATCTGAAGACCATACTGCTTGTTCATGTCTCCAATTATGTCATTAGGAGTGTATATTGTTTTTGGGTCTTTATACTTGTCTATCAGAAGACTGCCGATGAGTTTTGCAGTAGCTTGACGTTGTGCGTAAGATCTGTCTTTCAGGGGGCATGAGTGCACTTTGCTGAAATTTCTGCCTTGGAAACATTTGCTTTTTTCAGGCTCGAAGACTTAAAATACCAATCACAGTTGTTGTTGATGCATACTAGGCAGTACCTATGACAAGGATATAAACTTTTCCATCAATAAACAGAGCGACATGAAATACAATGATACATAGTGATACACACTGCAATCAATAATACTAGATGAAAAAATACAACGACTATACAGTACTAGACGATGACAACCACAATTTAAAAGTGTACAGCCACATACTTACAAGCAACAACTTATTTTCTGCATAATTATGCTTCTAACATCAACTACGATATACATTGAGATACATAATTATACAATAAATATTTTGATACCTGCTTTCACTTGATCTATGCACCTTAAACTGAAATTTTTTCCTTTACTGCCAAGTGCCTCATGACTTTGACTATCGTTGCCTTGTCTTTATAAATTTGACCTTCTTCTACATCTATGTGTTGAGGGTTAGTAATTATTGTATTTTTATCAGATTCTATATCATTCCAGTCTTCTCCATTCCCAAACTCGATCATCTTAAATGTATCGCCATTGTATCTCTCCTCTACAACTGAGCTTTGTGCACATTCTGAGGAAATCACAGCAGAATTAGAATTGTAGCAGATCATGTCCATATCCTTTTCACTCGACGTTATACAAAGGGGATACATTATAAATTCTGAGCTTTTTTTCAGCTCAAGATATACACATACACCCATACTATTGTGTATCACTATTGGCGGAGAACTGTTTAGACAGTGTATTTGATTTCAATATCATTCAATGAAGTATCTATCATAAGTTGTTTCGAAATCACGTCTACAAAATCTTCAAAACTTATATTTGGAGTAACTATTACAACATCTGCATTATAATCTACAAAGCTGTTGTCAACATTCCATCGGCCACCATACTGAATAAAAATTGGTAAATTTGCTATTGAAGTAGATGAAATTAGGTCAAAACTCACTAATTCCTTGATTGATTTTGATTGCAGTTCGTAGTTCCTTCTACAGAGAAATTGCAAAAGCTGTATCTACACAGAAATTACGAAGGTATAGTGAAATTGATCAATTTTGAGTGAAATTTTGAGCTCCTTTTGAGAATCTTTTGAGAGAGAATGCCGTGATTTACAGAGGTAGAGAATGTCGTGATCCGATAAATTAATACGCTTGAAAAAACAGGGAAGGAAGGAAGATCTTTAGCGTGATTCTCGGATAGAAGAATCCTTCCTTACGTGTATATCTAATTTTGGGCTACTTTTGGTAAGTGTCTAATTTTGGGCTAGAGGTTGGTAAGTTTTGTATTTAAATTGGCTATTTCTGTACTTTTCCCGCTACATTTTCCATTTACCAACCAACACTATATTAAACAGTTTTAACTCACCTTTTTTTTTTGTTGAGAAATTGGAATACATATTATTTATACTAAGGATGTGTTTGGTATGAATGAAAATATTTTCCGGAAAATATTTTCCCATGTTTGGTTGGCTTAAATATTTTGAAAAATATTTTCCTCATGAACTCATTTTCCTCCAATTGGAGGAAGATTTTCTTTATCAAGAGAAGGGAAAATATTTTCCAAAACTCTTTTTCAACCTTCCCCACGCTATTCCCTATCCCTACCAACCCATCCCCACAATCCCCGCCCACCCAACCCCGAGCCCCGCCCCACCCAACGCCACCCCCACCCCTACCCTAAATAAAAATATTATCAATAGTACTTTCTTTTTTATGTTAAAGATAATTTTTTTTATTTTAACAAATGAGTATTTTCTTTTCATGATATAAAAAAGCATTTTTTTTTTTATTTTAACAAAAAAATTACTTTCTTTTCGTGATGTAGAAAAATTATTTTTTCATTTCAACAAAATGATGAAGTAAAAAGTATTTTCTTTCATTTCAACAAAAGAGTATTTTCTTTTCATGATGTAAAAAAGTATTTCCTTTCATTTCAACAATGTATTTTTTTCATTTTAATAAAATGAGTATTTTCTTTTCATGATGTAAAAAAATATTTTCTTTTATTTTATAAAATGAGTACTTTATATTCATGTTGTAAAAAGAGTACTTTTTTTCTACTATCTAACAAAATACTAGAAAATATTTTTCGAAAAAAGTTTTTCACTCACCAACAAAATAAGGGGAAAAAGGTGATAAAACCACTCATTTTCCATGAAAATATTTTCTAGGAATATTTTCCTTCATACCAAACACACCCTAAAAACTAGTCACATTACATGCCATAGAGACGCCACTTAGGGCATTATGATTGCCAAATTCAGCCAACTTAGTACATATATTATTTGAAAGTAGTCTGACAAATGAGAAGTTCAACCTCTGTTCGCCAATAACTGAGTTTCAACAAAAGGAAAAGGGAGAGCAAAATTCTTGACTTGGTTTAGGTTGGACTGCTTGGAAGCTTCCTTTGCTAAAAGGTGCGACACTTGGTTTGCTTACCTGAAATTATGCCTGACTATCACCTTCTCCAGTCGGAGCATCAATCACCTGCAATCATAAAATGGTATTATACGTTAGATAACTATGATCAAGGCATTTGAGCACATGAGTATGTTTTGATTTCCAAGGGTTTCAGTTGGAGATCCCATGCGAGTGGAAGGCCATGTTTCAGAGCCATTAGTTCTGCCTGAAGAGGTGTTGCTGCATGTGTGTAATTATAGAACCAACAATCCAATATCTCGACCTGTTGTGAATTACCCCACCTAGACCACAACGCAACTTCTTAGCTTTGAATACCCCACCTATGTTAAGTTTTAGCTCACTTTCAGTAGAATCATGTACACAATGGCTCAAATATGATTGAAAAAGCAACATGGTGTTTACCAAAGTTTAATCTAACTTCCATAGTTACAATTTGAATTTCCGCTATTCTTTTTTCATTGTCAAATAACGTTCACTTACTTTAAAAAAAGATAGTGGCTAGGGAATATAACTTCTTTTTATAAAACTAATTTCTACGTACGTGTCTAGGTTACTAACCATTTATTTTAGATTATAAATTAATGATATTAAATAAATAATTTATAATTATTTTTTAAGTAACCTAATTATTTAAATAATTTTTACATCGTCAATACATAAAACTTAAACTTTCCAAGGAAAAAAAAAGAACATTAATTGTTGATGTGATGAGTGATCAAGTTTGTAATATTCTACCCAAAAAGTCTGTATGAATAAATTAAATAAGATCTTTAAGTTCTAAACTTTTACATAGTAGCACTGCATCTTTGCAAGAAATACCGTAATCAGGACTGCTTAACGATAGATAGCAATTGAAAACAATTAATAGTTGCAGACTTTTTATTTCTTTGTATTCATTATTTGATCTTTCAATTAATAAAATTATTTATTATTTCTTGTGTGGTGACATTGACAGTGCAATAAATCTACTTTTCAAGTATTTATTTTTTATTTCAATTTCTTAGTTATTAATAATACAGTTTGCCTAATATTTTAAAACTTTGAATTACACTAATCAAAGTTTTAAATTAGGAATAGAACTTTTGACAACAAGATCTAAGGTAGTGTATTAAAATACATGACTAATAAGTAAGTTTTTCACATTTTTAAATTAAGAAAATGTGTTAATCAACTAAATCGAATGTTTTGATGTATATTTCATTCTTTGTAAAGTGATAGAAATGATAACAGTAAGGTGATCATATATGGAGAGGTTTATTTATAAACATGTCAATTTTACATACAAAAAGGATAAGAAATACCCCTAACATATAGAATACGGCTCACCAATATCCTTTGTTAACCTCTTGGATTTAAATTAAGTATCTTTAAAAAGATTATTGAGAGACCCTAATGCCATGATACAATCTCCACAATCGAAGACTGAATCGAGAGACCTAAAGAGCAAAATTAGGAGAATTGCTCTTGAACAATCACTCGAAGAACTGGAAATATTGAAAGAGATATAGAGAGAGAATTATTGTTGATTACTAGCAGAAAAATCATGTGTACAATAGCCAAGGATTCTACTGATATAGGAAGGGAAATCTGGGAGGGGAAACTTGGAGGGAAAGTTAGTTATAACTAACTTTGGGAAACATGTGCCCCTCACGTGACTGAGCTTAACAACTTTAACTAACTTCTAACTAATTCAGCTGATCTAACTAACTCTTATCTCTATTACAATTGAATCATAACAACTACCCTCCCCTTCAAACAGTCCTTGTCCTCAAGGAATGAAATGAGGAAATCTTGGAAATCGAAGCTGGAAGTCATATAGATCCTCCCAAATGCT